ACCCTAGACCCTAAACCTTAAGCCCACCTAAACCTTAAACCCCAAACCCTGGACCCTAAACCTTAAACCCACCTAAACCTTAAACCCCAAACCCTAGACCCTAAACCTTAAACCCACCTAAACTTTAAACTTTAAACCCCAAGCCGTACACCCTAAACCTGAAACCCCAAACCCTAAACCAGGGTTCAAGGCTCCGGGTTGGCGTCTTCAACAAGGGTACTGGAGCCATCTGCTCCGGAGTTGCTTCGAGCTTTTGGCTTCGTGGGGCTAGGGTTTAGGGTTTAGGGTTTAGGGTTTAGGGTTTAGGGGTTAGGGGTTTAGGGTTTAGGGCGTCGGGTTTAGGGTTTAGGGTTTAGAGCTAACCGTTCAGGGTTTAGGGCTTGACAGGTGTATCTACGGGGCCTGCTGAATGGTGCATATACACACACGACTTGGGGTGTTTGAGGTTTAGGGATAGGGTTTAGTGTGGCGCATCGGCAAACATCCGCAACCGTAACTGCGAGGCCAAGGCTCAGCTGTCACTGTACGTAGCTTCATGATACAGACTCAGCTCATATCTGATCAGTCTTCGACCCGAACCACAGCCCTTACCCCACGAGCCGCTAGAACCTCACCGAACCCTAATAGCCAAAACCGCTGAAACCCTGCATGCGCCACCCATAGCTGAGAAATAGAAAGAGCTGAGGAGCAGCAGCATGGCGCAGCCAAGCAGGCTCCTGAGCACAGAAGATGACAGAGTCAGGTCTCTTGGGTTTGGGGATTTACCCTAACCTACCAGGTGCCTACTATATAGGGTACTAGAGCCCTTGGGGCCCTATGTAGTACGTACCTGGGGGTTAGGGTTTAAGGTTTCGGGATGATCTAAGTTTCAAGGATCTATCTAGAGCTCACAGGTCCTACGAAGGTTCCCAGGTTTCTCCATCAGCTCTAGCTTAGGAAAGCTCCTCAAGTGAGCATGAAGCATCACAGAAGTACGTCTCTCAATTGTAGTGGTGGTCACGCTAGAACAACTGCTAGGACTGGTAGGAGCGATAGCTACAACGCCAAGGGGAGGACTTCTTACCAGAACGACAGCCACCGCAAGCAGCTTCAGCAGCAGTGGCAGCTGTAGCAGCAGGAGGAGCACCCAAAGGGTCCAAGTATTAATATGGTAGCTACTTTGTAGGTATTTGGGCCCCAAAAGTATATACCGTACTATAACTTGGACCCTTTGGGGCAGTAGCAGGAGCACATGATCGACGATATCGCCGTGGTGGTAGCCGAGGACGTTGTCGTTGTGATGGTAGCTGTAACCCCAAGGGTCCAAAGGACCCTATAATTAGGTACTCGGTTTTGGGATAGTAGTCATGTAGGTTACTATTTTGGAGAGTATATGACAGTTAGGTACTTGGACCCTTAGGGTAGTGGTCAAGCAACTGGCTTTGAAGCACCAGCACGGACAAGTGACAACAGCAAAAGTGGCACTCGAAAAACCTGAGGTCGTCTACACATGAGTTGAGGAAATCCTGAAATCCCCATCAGGACCAGGGCCAGTGCGGGTAAACGTGATGCTCGTGGTAGTAACGATTAAATCACGAGATAACAGCACTGACACGAAGCAGTACTAGCTGCAAAAGGCGGAGCAAGCAAAGCCATAACTCGAATCTAGAATAGCACAAAGAGCCACAGCAACTACGCAGAACGGAACAGCCATAACCAGTCGTGACTGCAGTGCAGCCAGCACTGTGCTTCATGAGGCCCTTGCAGTTCGATACTCTGGCAAACAGCCTTGATAACGATGTTCTCGAAGAAAGCATACTTGTGACGAATGATCACGACTTCCTTACAACGCAAACGAAATGATGCCAATAATAATGACATCTATCGGCAGTGAAAGTAGCAACACTACTACCAGCACCAGCAACAATCTGCGGTTTGCACGCAAAAGTTACCCAACGAAAACCCAGACGTGTCTAGCTATTAATTGTGGTTCGGTCAAAGCCTCGGCTTCAGAGCATTTCACCGTGACCAGCAATTCCCGAACCTGATACCATCTTGTACCTGAAGCCCCAACCCCGAACGTTGTAACCCTCTAGATGCCGAGGCACAGGATAACCTTGGAGAAGGTCGCTACGAAGGATACCATGCCTTTGCTTCGGTTTCGGTTTCTTTGGAGGCGGTTTAATGCTTAGGGTTGAGTGGCCGAGGTCTCTGAAACGCTATCTACGTTGTTCGGTTTACAGGTTCGCGTGGTGAACAGAAAAGTTGTGTCTAGGGTTTTCTGACGGTTTCGAAAGCCTTGATTAGGGTTGAACGGTGGGCTGCAGTGCTTTGAGGCATGGAGGCTTTGTGACCCTTCTGTTTCAAGGGGCATGGCCTACATACTAAATCCTAAGCCCTACACAGGAGTGCACGAGGCTTTCGTGCTGGCCTGGCCCTACATCCTGCACGCTAGCAATCCAGATTCTAGGGGTTTGGGGTTCAAGTTTGGGGTTCAACGTCTGGGGTCTGTAGGATCCAAGATACTTCAGGTTCCCTTGTCGACAGAGCCTGTTGATCCGCCCCGGCGTCCACATGATTTTCCCCGAAGGGCTGCGCGTTGCTTTGAATGGATGACACAGGCGTAGCCATTGACTAAGATCGGAATAAGTAATTAGAGTAGTGTTTCGGGGTATAGCACGCGGTCATTATAAGAAGGGAGCCCGAAAGAACATAATGAGTTTTTTAATTAGTGAGACTACATGTGTAGCGATTGGGAGTTTAGGGACTAGGACATGATATATCGAGCAATGGTTTGGGGTTCCTTGGTTTGGGGTTTGGCATTTAGGTTCAGTGGTTGTTCTAAGCAAAGCGGCGCAACCAAGGATTTGCATCCAAGCCAACACCTGCACGATTAGATGTTTTCTCCTGGAGCTTGTTCAAGAAAACATCCACTGAGCCCGACATGCCCAAAAAGCCCTACACCCTCAACCCTAAAATTCAATCCGTATTACATGATAAGCAAACAATCACAGAACCATCCTCAGAGGACGAGCTTGGAAACAAGTCACACAACACAAACTACAAATGAAACTCTGGGCAGGCTTTGGGGCGGGTCCACAGCATTATACGGTTCAGGCCCTTAGCTGCATGTAGGTGCTTGGAGGGTCAATTAAAGGGTTCCCAGATCCTAACACACAGAATCTTTCAACGACAAACATGCTAGCAATTTGTGAGCTGAGATAAGACCTTTCTCACCGGGGTCCGAAACCCTAAACCTTAAAGCCGACATCATGTCTGGATTTCGGGTGTAAGTCTCACGGAAGGAGACAGGATTCAATCAAGTTGCTGGCGTCCAATGCCCCCAACTGCAGCCTGACAAAGAGGAGTTGAGGGCTTGAAGGGTTGAAGGTGAAGGATAGGAGATTGGGCACTATGAGGCCCAAGATTCTGCACCAGAAACACGTGCACACGGCCCAGTTTTTGGGGAGTAGGGCTGCCCTATGCTACCGTTCTTATACAGTCTGATGAGCGTAGCGTAGGGGCGATGTATAGACTTTCAATCCCACGATGAACTGCATACAGCTGTGTATGCTGGGAGCTCGGAGACTCGGGGTTACAAGCCCCAGAATATTTGCAAGGTCTTTAGATTGCGGCCGAAGACAGCCAACAAACAAATCGAACTACTATAACACGAGCATCTAAAAAATTCTCGGATATTTCAATGGGCACTGTTCGGGCATCCCCAATGTAAGCATGGTGTGCACAGTCAGTTTCATGATGCGGGAATCATGATATACTGAACCCCACAGGAAGGAACCTTGCCCTCGGAAGTTCCCGTACCAGGCTACTATGCGTGACTGCCAGTCTTATTCGTTATTTTCAGGGAAAAGCCACGCAGCAAAACCCAACCTCTTTCTTCAAGGCAAGATGCGATGTGGTAGTAACCAGCATCACGACACAGAATGTCCTCGAAGACAAGTCAAGGCCAAGTCAGTATAGAGATGAGGTAGGTAGGTGTGTGTGTGTGTGTATTTGCGTGTATGTAACTGTACTCAGGTGTATATATATATATGTATATTTATATTTATACACACATGATATCTGCCCACTGTCCACTTTGGATGTTCTAGCATTTCTAGTTCACAAGCAACCAGAGCAGGCGTGTGCAACCGTGGCAATTTACAAAAAAGCTTTGGGAAACGAACTGCCGCCATGCTTCAACATACAGGACAGCCTGACACCGCAATAAATTCATAAACTAACGTCTGGCCCCACAAACTACAAGCGTGGCTCCTTGTCTGTTATTGCATACGTGGGTTCACGACCAGAAAAGCCTGATCACACTCCTCCGAACCGACTTCATCTCTATCTTATCCGCAACCTTGAACCTACAAGGTTGATGCCCTCTAGCCCGTCGCATACACGCAGATCTCAGTGCGGACTATTGTATGTGGCATTGTGATGGCGAGGTGTTATACCTACGTTCAAGTGCATCTCCGACTGTTACTTGAGTTCTTGGGCTGATGCTGGCAGGTGCGGCAACATATTGCGTTTCTTAGTGTCTTGTTGCAACATGTCGACCAGGCTGTCGTGAAACTCCAGGATCCTCGAGACCGAAAACATAAACCCAAAGGGTCCAAGTTATAGTATGGTATATACTTTTGGGGCCCAGATACCTACAAAGTAGCTACCATATTATTACTTGGACCCTTTGGGAAAGTTCACCACTCTTGGGGTGTAAGGCGCCAGAGTGATGAAAGCACGTTAACCACGAAAACTGAAGCCAGAACCCTAAACCTGACATGGGGTTTAGGGTTCAGGGTGCCGCGCGCCGCAAGCCCTGAGCCCAAAAGCCCTGAGTCTGGTATCGAGAAGAGCAAAACAACCTGACAATCGACACACAATGCGAAGTCAAATCTCGAAGACACCCCTTTTATAAGCCTTGCCTTTGTGGTATCCTTGGTATGATTGCCTACACAACTGCTGGTAAAGAGGCAGGTTTAGGGGAATTTAGGGTAAGAAGCCCTGACCTTAAACCCGCCAAAAAAACCCAAAACTTTCACAAAGGGGCCTTCCTTTCCTACTCGTCAGACCAAGAACTCCTCCAGGGGTGGCTATACATATAGGCCCCATAGTAGTTCCCTTTTGGGATTCCCTAACAGGATTCTAAATATGAACCCGAAAAAGGAACTACTTCAGGGCCTATGGGCAAGGGTCACTATATTTTAGGGCTGCTATAAGCGTTACTTTAAGGGCTATACTGTACGGGTTGCTAGATGGGTTGTGGCTTTGGACATCCTACACCCTAAACCCGTAAAACGTAGTTGAGGGTCCTAAAGCCTAAGCCCCTAAACCCTACACCCTAAACCCCGAAAAACACAGTTTTGGGGTCTATAGGGCCATTCCCGGAAGCCCTAAGGACTCCGTGGAAGCGGTCTGAAAGCCCCCGGGCCTGAATAGGGTTTAGGGTTTAGGGTTTTAGGGTTTAGGGGTTTAGGGGTTTAGGGGTTTAGGGGTTTAGAGGTTTAGGGGTTAGGGTTTGGGGTTTAGGGGTTAGGGTTTAGGGTTTAGGGTTTAGGGGTTTAGGGTTTAGGGTTTGGGGTTTAGGGTTTAGGGTTTAGGGGTTTTAGAGATTTTTGGGGTTTAGGCCTTGGGCCCTAAGCCTAGAGTATAAAACAACCGATAGAAGCTTCAAATCTTCATGAAGCCATGAGCTCACCATCTTTGCCACCATTCGGAAGCTGCCGAAGTGTCACGAAGGCCTAAACCCACAATCCTGAACACAACCCTAATCCCTAAACCCCTAAACCCTAAACCCACTACACAAGCCAAGAGCCAAACAACCTTGTAGCATCCTTAATCCTGAAACCTTACAGGCCATGAAACCCTAAACAAGCAAAGCCATGCAAGCCGCACAAGAACCCAAAGCCCCCCCTACATCTTAGGGTTTAGGGTTTAGGATCCTGAACGCCCATAACAAGCTCACGTTAAAAATAGAGAAGACGGTCGAAGTGTCAGTAAGCACTAACCCCACCACTTAGGGTTGAGGGTTGAAGGTTTTAACAGTAAAAAAGAACCCTATATGTTATACAACCCGTAAACACCTGAAAGACTCTCGCATATACAAAGACCGTCGAAGCCTCAGGAGGCCCAAAGCCCAGAATCCTGAACCCTCCAAACCCTCAACCTGAAAACCCTAAAAAACTGCTAGCCATCAACAACGACGATCAATACCTACACCCTATAGCAAGAAGGCAGCCGAAGCATCATGGAGGCCCTCAATGAAAACATTAACACTATAGTATCCAACACCCATCCCCCCTCCGAATGGAAACACTATGGATTCCGACTATCCTGAAGCCGAAGCGCCTTTGTGGCTGAGTTGTGTTGGGGAAACCTGACTGGAATAACACCCTATCCATGAAACGAACATCAAAAACATGGCCGCCTAAACCCTAAACCCTA